GTGAAAAATCAACAGACATCAAGAAAGCCTATATTAACAGAACGACGAACAAGGCCACCACCGACAACAACGGCAACAACAACATACATTCTGCAACATCAACAACAGCCACAACATCCTGCAACACCAACAACAGCCACAACAACATCCTGCAACACCAACAAACAACAACAGCAACAACAACAACAACATACATCCTGCAACATCTTCTGGCAGGTCTTTCTCCACAGAGACCTGTAGAGATTCCCTTCGACCTGGGAGATCCTGCCCCCTGGAGCTAGGTGGCTGATGTTGTCGTCGTGGTACAACTTCCATCCCTGCAAGGTCACCGACCTCCACGAGTGACCCACTTTGTGGCACATGCGGCAGGCCTGTAGCATTAGTAATTAGTACTTTACAATCATTACTTAAATAGAATCTCATATCTGACAGTAATTGTATAGGCTGTAGTTAAATGAAAATTGAGATAACGATGATCACAAATACAAGGTATCAGACCTCGAGACCACAATGAGACATTGAAAATAGATTATACTTTCAAAGAGCAATCACCAAAGTAGCAACCTCATCCAGCATCCCAGATTTAATGCAGCTGAAGATGTATTTGAATAATTTCTTCTCGTCTTCATCATCCAACTCCAGCAATTTTTTCTTCTGTCGGCTCGTCGAATCTGGATCCTGCGAGGAAGAAGGGAAAACAGAACTAATGATGGAAGAGATGTAACACAAACAAGCAATATACATGATGTATCTCATATGTCAAATTTGATATCTATGTGTATCAACATTCAATCCTATTCATTCATTCATTCGTTTGTCTGTTCATTCATTCATTTATTTATTCGTTCATTCATTCGTTCATTCATTCCAGTTCATCAACATTTTCAAGAGAAATGACCCTGATAAGCCTCCAATGACCAATGAAAAAAAATTTCTTATAACTGTAAGCAAGAAGAAAAAAACTGTACAGACTAACCAACTGTGTGACAATATTCTTTGTGGGTATGTAACTTGACTTCTGTTGCTTCAATGTGTGCAATGTGTTCTCCCTGTAATTCGTGTGAATCAATCAATTAATCATTCACTCATTCATTTAACTCATTCATTTATCTAACTATAAGATTCATTCCTTTATTCATTTGTTTATACATTCATTCATTTGTTTATTCATTCATTCAATCATTCACCCAACCAACCAGGCATTCATGTTATCAGATGAAAACTCCAATATATTATGGTCATTCTTCATGATGTTTCTGGACTTTTCCTCCAGCCAATCAAGTATCAGCTTTTCAGGTCAAAGTTTAGACAATCACTTATATTATATAATATTTTATATATATGAACATGAAATATTATAATTAAACTAAACTTAAATTAATTCTTGAGAAATCGAGTTAATATCATTTTGGAGAAAATATTATTGTATTATTGGCTTGGAGAATAGAAGCTTGCACTTAACAGGAACCACTACAAACTCAAATGTGCTGGTTCAAATCCAAAAAAAAGCCAGACTGTAAAGTATATGTATGTGTTATTTGGCACAGAAGCCCTGCTTTGATCAAATGTGTTTGCCAAATGTTGAAAGATTGAACACTGTTAGAGATGATGCTAGATGTTAAAAAATGGATTCTACAACATGATATTTACAACAACTAAAGTCACAATTAAAATAAAAAAAGATTACTTAATAAAAACAGGACAATAAAGAAAAACAAGAAAAACTAATTATGAAAAATGAAGAGTTTAAATATTTTTCAACTGTAAAAAATTATTTCCCAACCTGAGCCTGTCTCAATTGAGTGTTGTGTTGGAACAATAATGAACTGACATCTTTCTCACTTGACCTCTCACTCTGTTTTTAAACATGTTTATTTAAATATTTAAGATACAATGCAACACAAGAATGGAATACAAAATACAAAAAACATACAATCCAATGTGAAAAAGAAACATACAACACAACATACATTGCACAAAAATAAAACAAGTAAACAAATAGTACAAATAGATTGAATACAACATACGCATTGAATACACCATATGCAATAGAATACAATATATATACAATTAAACACAACGTATACAATTTAATACAACACATACAATTAAAATACAACATAAAAAAAATAAATACAACAATAAACAATTAAAAAAAAACTACACATACAAATGAGTACAACATATAACCAAAAAATAAACACACAACAAGCAACATAAAACCCAACAAAAAATATCATACAAGATTAGGACAGATTAAAACATCATCCATTCCATCTTCATCACTTGTACTACTCCTGCTGTATCGATTTGTGAGTCGTTCGTTGTAGAGGATGTGAAGCAAGGACCAGGTGCTCTGCTCCATTGAGGACAATTCAATGAGGTGCTTGTCTTCTGCAACACTTTTGGGGATTTTTTAAAATTATTTTTCAGTAGTAAAGTTTTTTAATAAAAGTTTATTTTAGCCACATGTGCAAATATTATTAGCAACTTACTCTTGTGTGGGAGGTAAAACAAAAACGTCTTTCACAAAACTGTTTATAAATTTTTCAGTTTCAACCGACATATTCATTTTATTCGTCATCTAACAACCCCCAAATCCGGAATCCAACAAAATAAGAATCCAAAATTCAAAAAACCCTGGACTGAAACCAACAGAGCTGGATAAGATTGTGGTTTGGAATTTTAATTTGTACAAAAAAGCAAAAAACCGAAACAAAATAAAAATTTTAAATTCAAATTAGGCTGTCGATAATTCAGTTTGACAACTGACGGATTCCAACCGACTAAATTTAAATTTTCACTAATTCCACAAATTTTACCAATTCAACACACCGCCAATGTGTTTTTGTTTTTTTTTTAGTAGTATGTATGTGCAATAAACTTGTATGGAAAGCTCAAATTTAATTTAAATATAAAAAGTAAGTCTGTTCTTGCATGTATAGGGTCAGAAATTATGTGGTCAGAAATAGCTAAAAAAAATTAAATTCACTTTTTTACTCTGGTCATCACGTGATCGAATTATTGTTGTGGAATTAAAAATTCAGCGTATTATCGCGTTGAAATTTTTTTAGAATTCCGATTAAAAATAAAATAACAAAATTAATCTCGTCTGCTGGTTGCGATCAAAGTTTTTTAAAATGTATTCAATTTTTATTTTTTCCATTCTACTTTTAGTTTTATTTTATCTTTAATGATAAAAATGTTTAAACTAAACTAAAGTTCAAAATTTTTCACTTGAAATTTTTGATTCAGTACAGTGCACAATCTAGTTTGGTTTTAAGTTAATTAAGCTCTAGTTAGAGTTACAAGAGTTCTAAAAACGTTAAACATAAGAGACATTTTATTATATTTGGGTACTCATTTAAATTTTAATAATATTATATTATATTTTAAATATGATTTGATTTGATTGTGTGTAGAAGAGTGTAGTATTGAATCATTGATATATTTATTTTTATATATGTCAATCACTATCACTATTTTATTATTTTCACATTCATATCATAATCATACTCTTGACTGAAGGCATATATTCACTGATTATAAAATAAACTACTTGCATTTGTTTTTTTACACTAAAAATAATTAATTGATTTGACTTATGTCTATATTGTATATAATATATATATATATATAATATATTTGCATTTATATGCATTGATTGTTGAAGTTGACCTACTGCTTACTTACCTACTAACAATTAGATTAGAGATTAGCATTCATTAGATTAGTAAAGATAAGTGTCTCCTGAAATACTCAATACTTCTAGTGACTGATAGATAAGTTTTTTTTTATTAAGAAGAACACAACTTAACTAACCACTAACCGCACGCTAACCGCACTCGTAACATGTGCTTGTAAGTATATATATATATATATATATATATATATATATAAGTTGGATACGATATTATTTTATTTTATTCATTAGTTATTTGAAGTTAACTGAGTTAACATAAGCTTTGAAATTGCTAAATGAAAATCTGTAAGTAAGAATTTATTTTTGTTTTTTCTAATAGTGATGATAATGTAAGAATGAATAAAAAGAGTAGTTGGTTTTCTTTATATAGTGATTATGTGTTGCAGGTTATTTAACAAACAGTTTCTTAAAGTAATGCCATAAGAAGATAATTGAATTCACATTCCTTTTTCTTGTCAGAATGCTATCTGGCATGCTATTTAAATTTGTACCTCTTCAATAAAAAATATGCTATCTATTCAATTTGCTTGCAGTTTGCATATAATGTTTAGTAAATTGTTTTGTAAATGGAAAATCATTGATATTTCAAATAAAAATACTATATCAATTTATTTTACCACAACATTACAATTCATCAATAAAATCAAATTGCTTACAATGTTGAATAGTTTAAATTATAAAATAAAAATATCCCATCGATTACTGTTCAGTATTTGTTGATATTCTCAACATTATCGTTACAGTCCTAAGATGGCAACAACGTTGACAGAATTCTACAAGGACAAAACGATTTTCATCACCGGTGCAACTGGCTTCATTGGAAAAGTTCTGTTGGAAAAGCTGCTGAGATGCTGCAGCTCTCTCAAGTGCATCTACTGCCTGGTCAGAGATAAGAATGGAGAAACAGCGGCTGAAAGATTGGAAAAATTGCTCGGACATCAAGTTGGTGGCCATTTTTGAAAATTATTCAAACCTCATTTTTTTTAATTGTTCAAAAATTATATCAAATGTCTTCCTTCAGTTAGATATTCTATTTTTGGTTTAGGTCATTAAGATTAATCATTTCTATTGTTTTTATTTAATCATTTTAAAAGTAACTTTATGACTGTCTGTCTCTGTTCCTCTACTTTACTTTACTTTACATGTAAGTTATTATTAAATATTTAAAAAAAACTAATTAAACTGATGCATACTACAGTGTGAACGTAAATTGGAAGTGAAAATGATTTTTTATATTTCAACCATCCTAAATATTAACCTTTGGGCATGCTAAATGTGCATAGTATGGTGAAATTGAATGGTTATAAGTGTTGACAGTGTAACACAGTTGTTAGTAGCATTGTTAGAGTTTGTGCTTTTATTTGCATTTTATTCATGTTTGTTATTTTATTTTATTTATTTGCTGGTTCAATTTTATTTATTAATTAATTTCTACTGGTTTATATTTATTCTAATTTTTCATTTATTTTGTAAAATGTCTTAGTTTTTTTCACATAAAAATGGCTGTTTTGACAATCTTCTAATTGAATTCTTTTAAAATCATATTTAACAAATTTTATAAAAGATTCTTGCAGAATAAATAATAATTGAAGCTATGAGATCATGTTTTTGTAGGCGCTAAATAGGAGGTAGAAAACTGCTATTAAATAGCTGAGCTTTCCTGAAGGGAATGAAATTAGAGTGTAATTAATTTGAAATCCTGGTAATTAATATGAAAATATGGTAATTAATACTACTTTTAATTATCAGTGCTTTGACAACCTGTGGAAAGAAGCATCATCAGCAGTAAATGTGAGGGACAAGGTGAAGGTCATTCGAGGTGACATGCTGCTGGATGGGCTTGGAGTGGACAGTGATCAGAGATTTCTTCTGGACAATTCAGTTGATGTTGTATTTCACGCTGCTGCTACTGTTAAGTTCGATGAGCCACTCAAGTTAGCTGTTGTTTGTGGTGTGTGTGTGTGTGTGTGTGTGTGCGTGTGTGTGTCGGTGTGTTTGTATGTTTTTTTATTTTATTCTATATAAGTGTATTTCATTTTATTCCATTTTTTGTATAATTTATTTCAAACGTATGGTAAATTGTATTGGATGAGTATTCTTCTAGATGTTACATTATTTCAATTTGTTTTATAATACTAAATGTGCGCTGCTACATTGTTTACACTATTGATTCTGCTAAAATATTGAAAGATATTTAAGTAGCAGCGGCAACTGCATGTTTGTGTGAGGTTTTTAAAAGCATTCACCTGCACTGGCTAGTTAGAATAATCAATATTGGATGAAATATTATGGTCTGGGATATCATGTTACTCTGCGGATTATAACTTTTTAAATATAAATCTTTAAAAATCAAGTTATAAAAGCTTGAAAATAATCAGCCATCTTTATTCAAATGTGCACAAACAATAAACATAATTGTTATTTATTGAAAAGTCAGGAGAGTAAATCAAGTTATGAAATATAAATTTTGTTGTAAAAAGCTAAAACAGTGACAGGTAACATAACACACCAAAATCGATAGAGACAACGTTATTTACCAATGAAACTCACAACACAGTAGAATTAAGTGACAAATTAATTAATCAACAAACCCTTCATCAACTAACTTACTGACCAACTAATGAGCCAATCTGCTGACCGACCAACCAACACATTCAGATATGCAATAGAGATGAACGTGTTAGGAGCACGCCGGCTCATTCAGATCTGTTCCACCATGAAACACCTCCAATCAGTGGTCCACATTTCAACTGCATTTGCAAACTGTGACCAGCCATTTATCTCCGAGCAGGTCTACCCTGCCATTGTTGAGCCTGACAAAGTTCTGGAACTTCTTGAGTTAGTAGTGCTTCTCATGTTTTTTATCCCTTCTACATCTTAGTTTAATTTTTTTATTTTTAAGTTTGTTGTTTTTTGCACTTTGTACTTACGTTTTTTTTTGATCTTGTTATGTTTATTTTTGATCTTGCTTTGTTAATTTTTTGTAGATTGTTTATAAAAACTTTAGTGCAGAGCAGAAAATTTATTCTTTTTTTATTTCAATTCACTCAACGAAATGTCCTTGAGCATTAGGCCATTCTGTGTAATCTCATTTTTCATTTGAACTGCTTTATATTAAATTTTGCATCTGGTCTGTAACATTCAGCAAAACATTGATGATGTTTTTTTTAGTTTACAAATTTAAGCTGCTTTGGATTGGTTCACCAATCAACCAGTCAATCAAACAACCAATCGACCAATCAGTCAGTCTGGAAATCTATCTATCAATCATTCAACCAATCAATCAACCAACCAATCAAACAGTTGGTTGGATGATGAAGCCTTCAAGATGATCACCACAAAGATGATAGGTGAGAAACCGAACTCCTTCACGTACACGAAACACTTGGCAGAGGTCCTGTTATTAAAGGAAGGCTCCCATCTACCCATCTCCATCATTAGACCTTCTATTGTTACTGCTGCCTGGAGAGAGCCCGTTCCTGTTAGATCCCGTTCCTTTTGTTCTTCCTATTCTCGTTTTTGTTGTTTGTTCATTTGTATTTGTTCTTGTTTGTTCGTCTGTTCATGTTCGTTTGTTTGCTAGCTGTTTATTGTTGATTGTTGTTGTTGTTGTTGTTGTTGTTCTGCGGTTGTATGGCGATGATGTTAGGGATGATATCTACGATAACTTTTATAACATTAACAACAATTATGGTAAGAGTGTTAAAAGTAAATAATAATTTCATCACATTTCATTTCATCACATCACGTCTCAGGGTTGGATTGACAGTGAAAATGGACCGAGCAGTCTGTACATTGCTGTATGTATTGTATTAATTAATTATTATGCTTCAAGATGATGATAAGTGGCGATGATTGTGACACTGAAGACGATGAGGATGAGTATGATGATGCTTGTAATTTGGTTCTGTTGTTATTATAACAGTGAGTGTCAGCTGATGTTAGTACAAGTAGATAAATTGATAAGTCAATATCATTTTTCAGCGCATCATTTTCATTATTACTTTAGCATTCATCCTGTTTACCATGGAATTTCAATCAAACATGTCTGCCATCATTGAAATGAACATTTACAATCGCCGTCATCATCAGCGTCATCATCATTCAAATAAATATCACGCATGCATCGTCTTCATCATCATCATTCTCGTTATTCTGACCAAGATGGGCAAGGGCTTGTTGAGGTCGATGATTGCAGACCACCACGTAAACGCGGACATCGTTCCAGTGGACCTGCCGGTAAACATGATGGTCGTCGTGGCCTGGTATCGAACCCTCCACAAGCAGACCACCAACGCCACCTCCGTCTACCACATCACCAGTGGAGGGTTGAACCCATTCACTTGGGGCGAGATGGGTCAGTATGTGAATGACTGAATGAAGGAATGGATGAATTGTTGAGATGAAGAAATGGGAGATTTGAGATAGATTTGAAACTGATTAAAAGATAGGGCACATTCTGCATGGTACTTGAATTATATACAATGCACGCGCTGATACGTGGGCAACAAACACGCAACAAAACATAAGAAACTGCATCACAAACGTCGCCACAGAAAACTCAGTGACCAACTACTTCAAGAAGAACCCTCTGGACTCCTGCTTCAGAAGGCCAAAGAGCAACGTCATCACGAGTAACAGGTTTGTTCTGCTCTCCATTTGGTCACTCCAGTAATGTATTTTGTATGCATGTCTGTATCTTTGTAGGCGGTTGTATTTTTTTATGTGTTTGCCTATTTGTGTATTTGCTTGGGTATTTATTATTACTTTCTTTACTTAAATCTATCTTCTATCGAAATTTACTTTGCTACAGTCACAAGCTTTTAATCTATTTCTTCAATACTAAGCCAATACATTCAATGATTCATTAAATTCACACTACATGCCACTCACTGTACTTACAATTATATATACAGCTAATAACTTATAACTGTGGCGTAATACATAGTATATACCCACGCTTACGTACTATTGTCGTGTTTTTATTGCCGTTAGATTCAATTTATAACAATGTAGCTAACAACAATTACTCTTTGCAATATGTGGCTAACTACTGAATGCTATATGATGTCGATTTATATTTTAAAGAAGGAGGCAGAAATAAGTGATAAATATTAATTCTAAAGTACATTGTCACCTGTTAATATGTTCTAACTTGACCTAATTTTCTTCTCTGAACTACGTTACTACTACTAATATTACTAATTATAATTATTGGTATTAACTGGTTAATTATTATTATTAAATTATATAATAAATTCTACAATTCTTATCACTTTTATTTGGAAATTCGAGACCACTACTCTTATGTGTACTATCTGTCTTCTTGATAAGGAGAATATATAGTGAGATAACTCATCAATAGATAGGCAGAATATGTAGAAATAACTTAATATGTAGATTATACTAGAAGTTATTCTTGATTTATTATTATACTTATTCTTGATAAGGAGAATATATAGTGAGATAACTCATCAATAGATAGGCAGAATATGTAGAAATAACTTAATATGTAGATTATACTAGAAGTGATTCTTGTGGTGTTAAACGTAGACAAGGAATTAAGTTGAATTTATGTGAAATCTTTATAATTATTATTATTGTTGTTGTTGTTATTATTATTATAATTATTATTTTTATTATAATTATTATTACTACTATCAATTTGGAGTTGGAGAAGCGCAAAAGTTGACAGAAATATTCTCTGCCTGGTGTCAATGGTATCAAAGTTTATAATCAGATTAGATGAATGTTACTCATTTGGTATGATGAAATGAAAGTCAACAATAACAAATATATGCAAATTGAAACTTGCCATCTATCTAAAAATATGAAAAAATATCTCCAATAAAAATTAAAAAGTCTTTCATCTACTAAGAAAAAACGGATGATTTAAAAATGGTTAATCTTGGTTTTCATTTTCTCTTGATAGAGTCGATTTTTTTCTCAAATAAAAGAAGCTTCATCATTATTATAAGGTCAAAAAATGATTAATGTGGAATCTTGAGTTGAATACTTTGAAGTAGTAGTTACCTTGTATCAAGTGGCCACTCTTCACTGTTAATTTACCTAGATAGGAGTTTTGATAACTTTCGATTTTTAGAATTAATAAAATATTCACGTCTATATTCCCGCTAATTTAGTCTCTGCTATCTGAACCACTTGAGTTTGCTTCGTTTTTTTTCGCTGAATTTCCTGAAATTTTATCTTTCAAATTATTAATTAACCCTAGACAAGTTATTTTTGCTTCTGCTGTGTGGTTGAGTGTGTGATGTCCGTTAGGTGAGCTAATTAGTATAACTAATTAGCTATTTATTTATTTAATTTAATTTATTCAGTTAGAATAATTTGCGCAGTTAGTGTTGATTATTAAAACAAAGACCACCCACCACGAGCCAACAAATTGTGAAACAGTTTCATGCACGATTGTTGGATACTGGTCAGTCACCTGATCCCTGCGTACGCGGCTGACCTGGGCTACCTGCTAACAGGACAGAAGACCCGCATGGTCGAGACGTACAACAGACTGCACAGGACCATGGAGGTGCTGGAGTACTTCACCACCAGGTCCTGGGAATGGACTCATGCTCATCTCGATGTCCTCAAGAATAACCTCACTCAAGAGGAGCTTAAGGTTGTGATGATGGTGGCTGTGTTGAGTGTGAAGATGATGATGATGATGGTGAAGATGATGGCGGTGAAGATGATGGTGGTGAAGATGATTTATGATGATTTTGGTGGTAAAAAAAGTTCTTTATTTTATTGGATCTGGGGCTAGTTTATTTTTCATTTTGGGTTATAATCATGGTTTTTAAATGTAAGCATTCGTATGTGCAGCCATCGTGAAAAGGTTCTTGAGATTTTTATTTAAATTCATTCAAGTGCTCTCATCCAAGTGAATATTCATTGAAATTGTGCCTTTTCAATATGTTTATTAATTTGTCATTTTATTTTCATCCAACACATTTCTTTTCATTCATATATCTTTAAAATTTGTATTACATTTTAAAATAACTTTTTCTTTTACTGATCCGTCCATCCATCCATGCATCTACGAAACGAACACAGACGTTTTCATTTGATCCACGAGTCCTTCACTGGCCGACGTACATTGAGAACTTCTGTCTGGGTACCAAGAAGTTTCTTCTGAAGGAAGATCCAGCCGGTCTGCCCGCTGCCAGAGCAAGAATCAAGATGTTGGTCTTGTTTGGCTTCCAATCAATCAATCGATCGATCAATCAATCAATTCAATCATTCAATCAATTAATTAATTCATCTAAGCACTCATTTGTCCATCCGTTCATTCATCGATCCATCCATTCACTTGTCATTCATTTATTTTGTCGCACACTTGGCAGGTTGCGTAACATAAGGTATGCCTTCAATACGGTGCTGTTGGTTCTGGCTTGGAGGGTCCTGATCGCCAACTCCAGCCTGGCGCGCAACTCTTGGTTCTTCGTTCTCGGTCTCGTCTTTAAGTTCGTTCGTTTCTTCCGTCTAACCAGTACGCTCAGTTAATGAATTAAAGAGAACCATCTGTCTATCTGTCTGTCTGTCTGCCCCCATCTGTCTGGTGTATATATCTCGGATGTTTGTCTGTCATTTTCACGTCTGTCTGTCTGTCACTTTGTCTCATGTCTAGATTGACTAATGTTAATTTGTTGTTGTTGTTGGTGTCTTATGATCGTCTGCTGTTATATTAAAAGTTGTTCCTCCCGTGTTAATTGCTTTGTTCAGTTAATGATTGATTGCAATAACTTTTCATTGGATGGTTGTTATATATATATACATACATACATATATATATATATATATATATATATATATATATATATATATATATATATATATATATATATATATATATATATATATATATATATATATATATATATATATATATATATATATATATATATATATATATATATATATATATATATATATATATATATATATATATATATATATATATATATATATATATATATATATATATATATATATATATATATATATATATATATATATATATATATATATATATATATATATATATATATATATATATATATATATATATATATATATATATATATATATATATATATATATATATATATATATATATATATATATATATATATATATAAATATATATATATATATA